TGTCTAAGTTATCTTGTTTTAATTTCTGATTACACACACTTAACTGGATAGAGTCATATCTATCAGATAGATTTCAGTGTGTTAGAGTACAAAATCACCAATCCAATGATTTAGGTACATCAACTGGTGTTCCGCAAGGATCTATCTTGGGTCCAATGCTTTTTGCTATATATATTTGATTTTCATCTTGCATGTCCTGGCATTAATATACAAATGTATGCGGACGATACAGTAATTTATATACATGGTAATAGTCTAGCACAAGTTGCAAATGAACTCACGAATTCTATGGTTAATGTGTCAGCATGGCTAAAAGAGAATTGCTTACAACTAAATGTGTCCAAGACAGTATGTATGTTTTTCTCTAAGTCTAACAGTATTATTAAAGAGACGGATGTTTACGTGTCAGTATAAATATACGGATTGATTCTAAACTTACATTTAAAGCTCAAGTTAAAAAGGTTTGTAAGCAGGTTAAGTTTAATCTCTATAATTTTAAGTTTATTAGAGATTATATGTCATTAGAGGCAGCTAAGATGTACAGTGCACAGCATAAACGAGTGCACCCCCTCTAAAACTAATTATCAATTATTAAATTTTCTAGTATGTATTTTTAATTACATTTTATTTTAGGGTGACTTGTAACATCTTGTCCAGGGACTACGGATGTAAAATAGCCTTTGGCTAATTCTGGTACATTTACAGGAATGTTTTACTAATGTACAATGTCCCTGTCAACTAAATAAAGTAAAAAAAATAAAAATAAAAACTCCAGTGGACAGTTGCATTAAATGCTTGACTATGTCACGGTGCGTGCGGGGAGATGAAGCGAGGACTCAATTGCATATTCTTTAAGACTGGTCAAAACTTTTTTTTATGTCAGTTACATAAAAAACATAGATTGGTCTAATTTGAAATAAGATTCATTACCTATTGGCTAACTGCTAGTTGGTCAGACTAGTTCTGTTGATAAGACACAGTCTTAACATAGAGGCTAGATTTATGCAACTGGCCCCAGTTATTCAAAAACATTAGATTTTGTGTTTCATTCACATCCATTCTTGTGCATGTGAATGTGGGACAGCGGGTGCAATGAGATATGCTGAAAAAGCAACTAGTAAGATGTTGAAAATGACAAAATGGCACAGATTGTACAAAAAAATCAGTAGAGAAAATCCGTATATGAAGGTTAGCCTATCATAACAGACGCCATTTATCTATTGATGCTAAGGAACAGTAGCAAAAATTGTGGAAAATAGTCATATAAAACAAAAATGACTGTTTTTGGCGCAATAAATATAACTAACATTATAAGTGGACTTCAGAGAAAAACATAAAATGATAAAGTGTGTAGGATTTGATACCTTTAAGCAGAATACCTTCGTTAAACTGAATCTATAGTCTGTCAAAAAGCCACTGAGGCTCAGGAACTCTCTCATGCTCAAAATTTATCTTTTGGCACAAACATCTTAATTCACTGCATTCATATCCCTGGAACCCTTTGAAGTGCTCTATTATTCCCCCGCAGGAGCATTAATGTGTCCAGAGAGGCCAGAGAAGCGCTCCACCCTGCCTGCCATTGATCAGCGCTGAGACACCCTGACTGAAGAACATCTCCCAATTGATCCAATTAGCGCTGATGAGGAAGACTTGGACAGAACCCAATCGAGTGCTGTCCCAGCCTCCGACTCCTTTAAACACACACTCTTATGCAGTCACGTCCCTGTGACTCCACGGCTTCTAGAGAGAAAGTTTCTTGGGGCAACAAATGGTGCAAATGTTTCATTAAGTTGCTACACCCCCCAGAGAGAGTCACAGTGAGAAAAATATCTTGTTTTTTAAAATGAGTCATATGTCCTTAGGCTGTATTTTAGTGCAAAGTAAATTAAAATGTCCTGCTTGTGAATGCAAAGTAACAGGTGCACCAAAGATAAAAATGAGGACGAGATGTACTAACCTGCACCCACGTGTATTCAGCACCCAGCTCTACAATCAGATCTGCCCACTTGTCAATCACTTTGCGGATCTCTGCGGGCTGCATGAGCGGGAGGGTGATGTCAGACCAGGGGTGGAAACACATGACCTTACTGAAAACAAACAGAACACAATACATTTGGTTGAAACTATCTATCTGTCCGTCCGTCCGTCCGTCCGTCTATCTATCTATCTATCTATCTATCTATCTATATATATATATATATATCTGTCTGTCTGTATCTCTATATCTGTCTGTATCTATCTATCTATCTATCTATCTGTCTGTCTGTCTGTCTGTCTATCTGTCTGTATCTATCTATCTATATCTATCTGTCTGTCTGTATCTATCTATCTATCTATCTATATGTCTGTCTGTATCTCTATATCTGTCTGTATCTATCTATCTATCTATCTATCTGTCTGTCTGTCTGTCTGTCTGTCTACCTATCTATATGTCTGTCTGTCTGTATCTCTATATCTATCTATCTATCTATCTATCTATCTATCTATCTATATCTATATCTGTCTGTCTGTCTGTCTGTATCTCTATATCTATATCTATATGTCTGTATGTCTGTCTGTATCTATCTATCTATCTATCTA